CTCGTAATTAAATTGCATTAATTAGTGTCGACTTTTTGCGCTACATTTTTCTCAGCGCACATAAAACAAAAATTACCTAATGGAAAATCAGCAGCGCAAAATGATAGAAAAACGCACGTCTAGACAAGAGGGCGTTACAAACGTAAACATATCTTATATTGAATGTATGCAATTGAGTAAATGCATAAAATAGCCTTTTGGCTAAAAAACAAGTTATAATTATCTGGCTGCATTATTGAATTGGACGTGCGCCCCTGACACAAATAGCCAGGAGCTCGGGCTCAGCTGTACAGATTTTCACTTGGCATTTGGCTGCTATTCGTGTCAGGTGGTAACCAGTTGTTCTATCACCTGATGCAGGCAATCAATTTTTTTTTTCGAGTTGACGCTGCGCACGGAGAAAGTCACCGGATCGATGCAGCTAAAATCTCACGGAAAGTTCAAAGCCCAGAGTTTTATGTACGGACTGCGACATGTTTTTTGACACTTCAGTTCGAAAATCCATGAAGTCATATTTATGGGCGAAATGTTAATTGTTAAATGCAAGCACTGTCTACACTTTCACGCGTTCAAAATTCAGCCTCTGGCTAGTGTCAATGTACAGAGGAGTTATAGCAACAACAACAAACAAGCTGCAATTAACAACAATTTGCTGTAGTTTGTGTTGTTGTTGTTGTTGCTTTTGTTTTTGTTGTTAGTCCACACACACATACGTTCGTACACACACACGACTCTTAACGATCTTTAGCTATTTTTGTTAAAAAGTTTTAAGCTACTTTTACTTATCGGTTCATTATAACGGACGTTAAATTTTGCCAGCAAATCGTGCATGAACTCCAAGCGAAAGGTAAGCCCAAGGGAAACAGATAAATATACATATACATATATATATATATATATATATATGTATGTATATGTGCGTATAACACATGCCACACCTATGTGAAAAATACTTTTCATTTTTGGCATATTTCTCACACAACAAATTTCATCTTTATCCTTGAAAAAAGAAACACACATAACAAATAACTTAGGCCACAAACTTGTTTATCTGCGGTTTTCTGCAGAATTCGTGCGAGAAACAAACAAAATTAAAAATAACATATTAATAAGAAACTCTACAGAAAATGAAAAATGGAAGCATCAAACAAAAGACTTGCGACGCTCTGATGATAAATTGTGCGAAAATAAAAGATTTCTTTATGCGTTTACCGAGTGTTGCATCTTTTATATCGAAACGCTTCCTTAATAGTAGATAGTTTTTGCTTGAAGCCTTGTGAACTCACAAAGTTCAAAATTCAATTTCCGCTCAAGTTTCACGACATCGTGCCTCAAGTATGCAAATGCAAAAATTTCCAAGTGCGTTTTGTTTGCAATAATAAGAAGTCAGCCAGGTAATAAACAATTAAAGTAATCACAACTCATTCCCCAATTGAAATTTATTTAACTTTTTTTTTTCCTTGAAGAAAGTGACCAAAAAAATGAATATGATGAGCTTCGCCGATAATTGAGGTCGTTACTTGGCACGGAGACTTGGCCTTTAGATTTGTTTATTATATTGAATTAAATATTTCGTGATGTGTAGATATTATTGTGCAAGGAGACCTTCATAAGCTGGCAAATAAGTACAAATGTATATACAATAAATAATATATATATATATATATATTATATATTTCAATATAATTTTTGGCAAGCCATGACGAATGCAGGCCCTGACTTGCGTTTGAGCCAGTTAATAGGATTTTTCACTATTTTGATTTTTCTGCACCTCGACTGTTGCCAATGCAAGGCCATCAATTAGCGCCCAATTTTCGCTGGGGCTGGGCCAAACCGCAAAAAATTAACATAAATGATTTATGCACTCAACTTTTCGACGTGCTCTGCAATTTTCCAACTCATTAGCAAGCTGCAATTTATTTGCACTTGGCTTTGTTCAACAACCATTTACATATCTCGCTGCATGTTGCTTCGATTGGGTTTTTACAAACCCGTTTACAGCAATTGTCGGCCTTAGCGGTCAAGTCTATTTAACTTTGCAAACAGAAAATATATATTTCAAAATCTACAGTTTAGTGCTAATAAAAAAATTACTTGTTAATCTTTTTTTATACCCTGAACCTATTAAAAATGGGTAATAAAGGGTATAATGTATCTGTGCAAATGTATGTAATAAGCAGAAGGAAGCATCTCAGACCACATAAAGTATATATATTCTTAATCAGCATCAACAGCCGAATCGATCTAGCCATGTCCGTCTGTCCGTCCGTCCGTCTGTTAGTCCGTCCGTCTGTCCGTCCGTCCGTATGTATGAACGCAAGGATCTCAGAACCTATAAGAGCTAGAGACTTGAAATTTTAGCTGTAGGTCCTCCTAGTCCCCGCGCAGATCCAGTTTGATCTGATATCGATAACTTGCCCCGTTTCCAACTAATCGATAAAAATCGATATCGAATTCCTGTTTTTGAGCAATTAATATGAGCTAGAGTCACCAAACTTGTCATGCAGCTTATAGAATAGTATATATATATCTAGTATTTTTCATTTTATACTTATCGCCTGTCGGAAGAAGAGGGTTCAGGGTATCCCCTAGTCGGGAGCTCCCGACTAGAACCTCTTACTTGTTAGTCTCTCTCTCTCATATCTTTATTTGAAAACATATATTAAGACATTGATCACATCTGTATGTTTATTGAAAGGCTCCGGGCAGAGGACTTGTTTGGAGAGTAGTACAGACAAACATTAGATTAACTTAAAAAGTTAGAAAGCTAAACTAGCTTCTGGCTAGAATTGACCTTCAGAAGATAAATATATTTTAAAAATGTGAGTTATGTGTAATTAACTAGAGTATAATTTATAATATGAATGTATTAAAACTAATTTTAATAATAAAACAAAATATTTTAAAAATGTATTGCATATTTGCTATTTTTGTTAATTAAATGTAAATAAAGCAATATTATCCCAGTATGAGCTCCTTATACAGAAGACTAGATAGCCAGACCTTTCCAAAAGGTAATTCAAAGCTCCAACTATTTAAGATTGTTTTGATTTAACCAAACATTAAATGCAGACTTATTAATTTAGTCTGCAAAATATTAAAATGTCTAATATGCCAAAATTAGAAACCTGTAACATATATCGAAAATCGTGTTTCGATTATGAAAACAAAAAAGAACAAAAAGTTTGTCTTGTCTTGGATCAGATTAAAAAACAGACATGATTTCTTCACTGCGCGTTGAACAACTACAAATTTTTTTAAATTATTCAAAAACAAGCTTTTAAATGGTCAACTTTCCAGTTTATATAAGATTTTCTAGCGACAGCGTAATTAATTACTAGCAAAAGGCATTGAGCTTGAGCTGTCAATTGGAAACTAGTCTAACAACTGTCGTGCAATTAGGCACTAATTATAACATTTATAGATTATTTTCTAGCATTGATGTAAATACATAAAATATATTTATAGCTATAAATAGGGCTGATCAAAATCAATATGTATTGCAATTCAATTAAATTAATTATACATACATATAACTATATTTAATTTATGCAAGTAATTAGCCCACACATTTTATTTATCAGTCGAAGATAGCCAGCTCATCAGATCTTTGTTAAGACATATGCAGTATTTTCTTCGATTCATTAACTAATGCTGTACATGGGGGCTGAGATGTTCAGCATCTTTGGTTTTTTTGTGGGGGTGTTCGGCATCTAAATGATTTATGATGATTTTTTGCCATCTGAGTTCAAGTTAATTTACTGCACGTCGTTTTAATTGGCATTGCCCAAAGACAACATAAAATACTATTGCGGAGTTGGTGTACACATAACACGGTACCTACACGAGCTTCAAGTGGCACCCAAATCTACAAATGACTTGAACAAACATTTATGACATACATTTAAAAGGTGTAACAGTTGTCAGTGGGCACGCAGCTGAAGGACATGACTCATGCGTATATTCAAATATTTATTTGCATCACAAAGTTTGTTAAGTAGCTTGTAACAATAAAAGACTGTCAGCCAAAATATCTACGATAAGTAAAAGGCATCGGGCTCAGTTCGTTGTTTAAGTCTTTTGTTCGCTATGAACAATCTGTGTGTGGCCCCTTTTTAATCGTATCATCAGCCAGAGAGCTACAGGTAAAAGAGCAGCAGTCATAATCACGTTTCATGTGATCTGATGTAAATCGCCGGCAACGTGACACGTTTGATGTGCAGCTGACATTAAACCTAAAATTACAGCCAGCTAATTATAAAAGAAACTGTTGCCACAGACTCCACAGAGAATAGAGCCAAGCAATTAAACTGCTAACCCAATTTAGAGCAGTGTATTGACTTAAGGCTTCGATCGGTGAGCGGAGCAGAAGCCTTTCACTTACTCTACAAAAGAAACTGAGTTCATCTAAATAATGGAATTAGACCAAATTCTATTGACGAATTTCTATTTACTTTTAGCAGCTTTATGGCTAACTTTTAGCTTAAAAAGTATATTAAAGTTTAATTTTCCAACATGGCCATTTGATGCATATCTTTTTTGTCTACTATTTGTTTAATGCTTCACTTGATACCGAAATTGTTTTCAACTTTGAAAATGATTTCCGCAGCAGCTAAAAGAAAAGTTTTCCATGTTTTTTGAGTTTCACTTTGAAGCGCCGCGTAATTAACGAAATAATTCAACAGGAAACTAATAAGAGATGCCAAACAAAATTCTGTCTATGATTAATCTAAAGAAAATGACGCAAAGCAAAATTTCGTTTACCGAGCTGGTGTGCTCCATTTAAGCGAAAAAAGGGAGTAATTATCGAAAAATGCTTAACGGATCGATCCGAAAACGGGCGGCGGCGGCACACGACGAACGGCGTTAATTGGTAACTCAAAGAACGAAATTTGATTATGGGGCCCGGAGTCATCGGACTCGAGAAGAGTGAGATTAAAGTGTCTGGAAAGCTTTGCTATGCTATCTATAATTTTCGTGCTTTGGCTTTTCTAACTCACCAGCTTCGCTCGCGTTCAATTTGTTCGGTCCCAAAGTCGTTGAACTATCCAACATGGTCGCAGTCGCAGTCGCAGTCGACTCGCTACTTTGTTCTACGCCAATTGTTGTTGTTGTTGTTGTCGATGTTGTTGTTGCCGTTGTGTTGGCTGTGGAGGCAGCTTCAGTAGTTGTATCCAACGCTGGCATAATGGTACTGGGAACGGCTGCAGCATCATCCTCGCCTGCAGGCGCAGACGCCGCACGCTCAATTTGAATGCCAAGCAGCAATAATCCACAGAGACTGGCCACAAAGAGTCTACTCCACAGAATCGACGCTGTATCGCCTGGAGCTCTTTTTTTTCTACACGCTTGCATTTTTTGTATTGTATTTTCGGTATGGATTTTTGGTAAGTTTGTCTCACACCTTTGCACTTGTTGTTAATTTTGAAATGATCAAACGACTAAAAAATTAAATTCAAGCAAATTAGCTAAAGGTCTCAAAGCCGCATAATTATCTAACAACACTTTCATATCATAAATTATGATGTTTTCTCTCTCTTTCGCTCTCTTTTTTTTAATACTTTGTTATAGCGCGCGTTTGCTAAATATCGTTAATTTTTTGCACATTTTGCCTTTGACATTTGTTTGCTTTTGGAGTGTGTGATTTTGTACGTTCGTAACGGTTTATTTTTTGCAATCTATTTTGTAAGCTAAATGCTGTCATTTCCGTTGAAAGTCAGGTTAAACAATCTTGGGGATATTATTTTAGCTGTAACTTTTATATTTCGTGTTACATATGCTAATAATATATTAAATATATTATTAAAATGTGTCTCAATATAATTGTATATAATTTTCTGGGCATGCACTATTTTGATTGATTTCTTTTCTCACTTGGCTGCAGTCAAGTTCGCTGCCTAAGTCTTTTGTGTCAGATCTAACTATGCCCCATTCTCTAGTTCTGGCCTTTCTCAGCTCTGTCCCAAAAGAAATAGCTGGCAAAAATATTCAAGAAATTCAATGCGCATGCAATCCCCAATAATGCAATAGCAGCAGCAGCAACAACAAGAAACATTTTAGATCCAAATTACAGCCGCAAAAATGTATATTTGAACCGGTTCCGCGAGCAACTGCAAACGCCAACAACAACCACAACTGGAAGCGGCTCTGTGGCATTATTTGCGGCAACTTTGGCCGACTGCGACTAACTAGAAAACCACAAATGCTATCAATGCTGCCTTTACTGCTGCTGCTGCTGCTGCTACTGCTGTTGCTGTCGTGCATTTGGCCATGTTTTGGCTTGCATATTGGGTTAACTTTAATTAGTAAGCGGCTGCCAAAAACAATGCACGGCATGTTACAGTTCGCACAGGCCAGCTATGGGCATGTTTCTATTTAAATAAATAAATAATACTTGTTTATATATTTTCGGTTAAAGTTTGTTTTCCAAATGATGTCATTGTAAAAGTTGCTGTCGCCCGGCTATTTACTTTGACATTTCACATTTCACTCTCACTCCTTTTATGTAGAAATGGCAACGGCAAAAATCAAACAAAACACACAAGAAATCAAAACAGTTGATACACAAAGAGAGACGGTGAAGGGAGTGAAAAACTTGTTTGTTTTTTTTTTCGTTTCGGGATTTTAATGGAATTTTTTCATTCAGCCTTTTCAGCTGAATGTTTCACTGGATTTCATTCGTTGTCTGAGCGTCTGCTAAGAAGAAAGCCGTGCTTTGCATACACACACACACACACACACATACACAGACACAAGCCGCACACTTGAATACTTGTTGGTATTATGATTTGCACTAACCCGATGCGCAAAGGTTTTCAAAGCTGGCCAAGCGCACGGGCCACGTTTCTAGAGAATAATTATTAACACGCCTGCGTTTGGTTTTGGTCTAGCAACCGCTCCGGCTGAAGCACATACAACAACTGAGCGCGCTGTTGGGGCCTGAACTAGGCTCAGAGCACCATACTTGACGATCTTTCATGATTTCAACTCACCACGGCGCCGGCCACGTCGTCGTGGCCAAGACTCTAATCACGAGACCAGGCAACAACAATGCCTCTGCCAACTGGTTTGAGTTGCTTTTCGATTTCGGTTTCGACTGTGTTGAGTTTGTCTGGCAGCGGCGGCAACAGCTGAGCAATTCCAGCCGCGCAACAGGTGAGAGAGCGCTGCTTGACATAATCGAAATCGAAGTCGCGCTCTCGCATGCCTCAGGTGTGTCTATTCTGTGTCTGTGTGTGTGTGTTGTGGGTGTGGGTGTGTTGCTGCTGCCAAAAGCCGTTGGGTTTTTGAATTTACCAAAGGAAGGCTGCAGCTACATAAATTTTGACAAGGTAAACTCTGCGAACTTCTTTGAACCGGCCAACCAAAATCTCAGTCTCAGTGCGAGTCTCAATGTCTCAATGAAAAGACCAGCTGACACTTATTGGTGCGATTACGCCCACTGCCTCAGATTTGTCTCGGGGTCTATAAACTCAGCGTCTGACTTTCAGCCGAGCATAAAAAGCGGCTTACAAAATTCCAGCTAACTGCACACAAGTAGTAGGTAGATTAAGAAAAGGTTCTTCTCTTTTATAATGCCAAACCATAATCATCTCAATGCCAAGCTGCGCCCCGAAAAATGCCTGAATATGCAATTGCTGAAATGCCATCGATGCGAAGACGCGCCCAGAAACCGTCAGCACACATCAGCGGCAGGGCGACAATTCTGGCCAACTTGATCAGTCAAAGAAATGTGACTCAATGAGACAACATTCAGCACAAAAGCCAAGAGACGTCAAAAGCTGTAAACCTAAAGGCGCAACTTGCCCACAACTATCATGAAAATGTGCAGCAGTGTCTGTTAGCGTTCAAGTTGTTCGCGTTGTTCGCGCTGTTGCGGTTGTAATTTTAAATGCAAAAATGCAAAAATTCCAAAATGCGCTTATGCTATTGCACAAACTTTGGCCAAGTGTGCGCCCCACAATGGCACTGTGGTACAATTTCCATTGTTAGTCACACTGTCAGCTGTGTGTTTTTTGTTGTTTTTGCCGCTTATCTGGCAGCCATTGAGCTGCTGCTGCTGCTGCTGCAAAGAATAATAAAAAACAAACAAACGTTGCAACTTAACTTATGCACTCATTTCTTGAGTGTAGCAACAAGCTGCTAGCCGAACATGGCTTTGAAAGATAACTAATGTGAACAAAGCATAATAGAAAACAAAAAAAACAATAACAATATTAGTTTGACTAGAAGCCAGCCAGAAAAGGTTGCAGCAGCTGTATGAGTCACGTTTAACAGTCAACAAAAATCCTGGATATTGAAAATTAGACAACAGAACCCTAACTGCAACTATTAAAAAAAAAAAATTATATAAATATAATTTTACATGATATGCACATTTACAACGAAAGACTAACTTTACGCTCAGTATAAACGAATGACTTAGCCAACAAACTGTTTTCTAGCAACAAAATAATACAGCTAGCGCAAGGCAAGGATAAAGTTTTATTTAAATTCACAACTATTAAAAACCTAATATTATATTTCAAGCAAATTTACAACGAAAGACTAAGTTTACGCTCAGTATAAACGAATGACTTAGGCAACAAACTCTTTTCTCTAGCAACAAAATAATACAGGCAAGGACAAGGTTTGATTTACGTATTCCAAACAGATGCAGAAATTCAGAAATTCACATGACAAGTTTTGAGTCATTTCAATACATTCAAAGAAATGCCCAATTGCCGTTTCATTCCCAGGCTCATGCAGAACGTTGTATTCCTATGATGTCATGTCTTTGAATATCATTTCGCTCATAAGCATTTCGGCTATATTTCGGTTGGACTTTCAATATTTTTATCAGCGTCTGCGTTTCGGCCAGCAAGCGCAGCGGCCTTTTTGAACGCATTTCATTTGTGACTAAATGCTCGCATATATATTTGAGTAGATATATGGGTATATATACATATACATACAACTTGTCTGCAGGCACAACCGGTGTCGCTGTCTGCTTGAGCTTGGCTTTTGTTTGTTTTATATATGTAGGAGCGTGTTTATACTTATATACATGTGTATATGTCTGCTCGGCTGCATTAAAATGCACGCTGCTTATGTATGTGCATATAGGCGTATTACATACATAGTCTGAGGCATGCATTTGTTTTCGACTGCGTTGCTTTACTTTTACTTTCATATGCAACTGGTTGCCGCCGTCGACTTCAATGGGGAAGCAGCAGCAGCGGCAGCGAATGCGAATGTATTGGGTGTCTCGCGGTGTCTGGCAGTCTCCGAGTCACGGGCCACAAACGAAATTGTTTATAAAGTGATTGTCAATCATTTTTGGTGGCATGTCGCTTAACCGACTTGACAACACCACACACACACACACACACACACAAACACACAGACACACACACAGCAACAGCAGCTGCTACACATTCGGCCACATGCTCAATCTTTCCCGGGTTTGCTCAATTAAGGCGGCTAATATTTTTATCAATTAATTTGGTAATGTATTGGGCAAGATATATGTATGTACATGTACAATTATTTAATGCTCTTATCAGATATACATACACAGATGCATAAGAAATATAAGTATTTATCGAAAATACATTATTTGTATATGATCGCAGTATGGCTTTAATTTACTTAACTGCCGACTAGCCCACAAATAAAGTAATCCGAAAAGCAAGATATTGACGTAATGAGACCCAAAAACATTTGGCTCCGTTGCCAAACCAATTAGCTAAACGCTTTTAATGACCAAATAAGGAAAAGCTGAAAACGAATTGAAGCACACATTTGTTGCTATCTGTAGCTCTTTTAAATTGTTGCAACCAGCTTGGCCTGGGCCACGAAATGAGATTACTTTGATTTCATGATTCGGGTTTGGCTTTGCGTTACAAATAACACAAAAAAACCTCTGTGTGATTTGACGCGCACATTTTCATGTGTAACCGAAATGAAGACATCAGCAATGAAACCCTCATAATAATATCCCCGTATACTTGGCCTCTCATCCAAATTCGCTTGCGCTTTTATATAACGTGGAAATATTTTTGACTTGGCATTCGGCTCATTTCTATGTAGATTTCTGTACAAAATTCATGTTTTTAATTCGTTTAATCATAGTAGGAAATTATTATTATTAAACTTTCCCTAGACTGCAGTCACTTCGTTAGTATCAGATTTACTGATGACAAATCACACGCATATCGAATTACCGAGACTAGCTTAATCAAATGATGGATGACGAAAAACGATCATATGCTAACAAATAAATATAATTAAACATGGGCCTTAAAGCTATTGACAAAATATGCTGCTTAATATGGCTTAGTTTACTTTAAAGCAAATAGCTACAAAAATGTGACAAATAGATCACAAAATATGCATTAAAATGACTTAAATTTAAATTAAAGATAAAGAAAGGATAAATAAATATGGGAGAGCTTTCAAGGTCGCCTTTTTAAGTTGTTTAATGAATAAGAAACTTTTTCTTTTTTTTTTTTAATTTAATATGTGCCTTCTGATCTCTATGGACATGAGGAAGTCTCCTATTCTCTTATAATTATACATCATTATTATGGAATTCAAGCTTTTCCTAGCAAATCTACAAACGCTGGTAGTGTTATATTTCCAATGTATTTTTATTTTATAGCCATGGAAAATTGGTAAATATATATTGATTTGAGCGAATTTATGTAACAGCAGAAGGATGCATCTCCGGCCCAATAAACTATACATAGTCTTGTTCAGCATCAAAAACCGAGTCTAACTAGCCATGACCGCCTGCCTTTCCGTATGTATGACGATCTCGGACAAATTTTAAAGTTTTCTTCTCTCATTACACACCCAGATCTAGATTGTTTTAAATAATCGATAGCTTCCATCGTTTCCATGAGATCGATAAAAATCGATAATTCCTATTTTGTTATGGAGAACTTAGAGCTTCTAAGAGCTAGAGACACCAAATTTGGTGTGTATACTCTTGTACTATGGCATACGCAGATCTAGTATATTTCAAATAACAAAGCTTATCATTAACGATCCCATAGTATGGGTCATCAACCGTAACTATGCATGTATGTATGTATGTACGTATTTATGTATATATATGTATGAATTGAAAGAAGCTTGAATGATTGCAACGGCAGCTCTGCGCTGGGTCCAAAGTATCCACAAGTAGGACACTCCCGACAGAGCACCTGCTAATGTTAATTTCTGGTAATATTTGTCGAGCAATATTAACTTATCTGCGAAAGAATGCCGAAATGTGAGTGAAAAGAAGCTGAGTTTACTTTTACTTCAGCATTTGCCAAGCTTTTTATATTGTTCCACTTAAGTATAACTAAAAATATTCAATATAATTATGACCAGAGTCGATGCAATGATATTTATGATGAATGAATTATGATATTTATTTGAATAGGCTTAAAAGTTTCTCTGGTAATCGCTCACGGCTCACAAGCCGTACTTCTTCCCTTATCAGCTGAGAGAAAGGTTAGCCTCCTCCTTCAGCGCACCACAGTGTTCTGTTTTTTTGAATAAAGTACAGCTAGTAAATTATTGACACAGGTGTACACATGTGTGCTTGTCCAATGCCAAAGACTACATATAAGTATAATATGCACAATAAAAGCTCTTATAACACAAATACATTTCAAATTTAGTCATTGCCTAAACAAGCTCAAGTTGTTTGGCTAGCAATTGACCCACAAAACCAAACAAACAAACTCTTCAAAGTGTCATTTAAATAGTCGTTTGACATTTTGACGCCAGCCGCAAGAGTCGTTGACATATTGGCCAGTCAGTCTCAGAGCCATGGCCGTGACTCCTCAGTGATCTGCGTGCGACGCAGCTAGGGCATCATTTGGCCCAAAAAAGTTGCGATACAAAAATTATTAAAAAAAAAAAAAAGCATAACAAAATATTGCAATTTTAGGTGCCCGTTGTGAAAGTTTTCACACAGGAAGCGGGCCAAGATTGATGTAATCATTTTATGGTAAATATTTTTTCTCAAATGCAAATGTTTGCCCAAGGCTGTTGGCGACAAAGTTGAGGACTGCATACTAAATACGAAAAAGAAAAAAAAAACACTGTGATTCACATTTGTCACGTTCGATACGAGTCTGTTAAAAAAGTTGTCAATCGACCTTCACGCGCTGCGAAAGTTGCTTAAAAAACGTCACTAAAATGAATTCAATTTTATGAGCAACTGTTTAATATTTGCCCAGCGTACAGAATTATGTGGGGTATTTTCGGATGAACCAGGTGACGCATTGCAAGAGTATTTCAAGCCCTCATAAAACTTTATAATTTATATGCAGGCAGCAAACATTTAATTAGACTCTTGATATAGCAAAAAAAAATCAATGCCTTTTAAGATATGAGTGTACTTAATTCATAATTTAATTAGTGTAACAAAAAAAAAGATATGATTGTATTCATAATTAAAACCATTTTTTTAATATAAAGTGAAGTAGAAGAAGCATTGGCTTTTGTTGGCCCACTTTGGAGCCATAAAGATCACATGCCGTTAATAGATTAGATATAAAAGTTAAAAAAAAGCAGTTAGAATAGCCATCGTGATCGTGAATCTCAAGAGCAATAAAAGCAATAAAAATCTGAAGGCAAAACCCAAACACAGACCGCAACAAGCGCCGGAGGAAATAAATAAAAAACAACAACTTCTTGATGACCTTCACGAAATGTAGCCACAAATATTTTTTTGGCTAAAGAGAGTCAATAAGCATGTATATATATGTATGTATTGGTATATAAACAGAAGATAAGTGCGGGTCATTTATAAGTATTAATTGTTCATCCGCTAACTTTTAATAAATTAGTCACTCTGCAAGCATTTTTTATTTGGCAATATCAAGTTGAGCTCTGCTCAAAGCGTACAAACTGTTTGTTTTTTCCCCACCATAAATATTTGAAATCCGCTTAGCGCTTTTTATTATATATTAAATAGAGAAAAATACTCTGGACCCATAGCGACATGCAGTTCGGTGGCTTTTGTGTACCGCAGCACACGGTGCGTATGCGCGATTTGGCATGCACGAGTGAACTTGGTCGCCAGTATTTACATTTTTTACTCGTTAATTAATGCTATTGTTGTTTTATTGTTGCACCGTTGCAAAATTTGCTGATAAGCGCCTAATTTGATTATCAGCGCAACCATTTACTAGTGAGTCGGGCAAGCAAAACTGATTAAATGTTGGGGCCAGGCATCTCTTAGGCTATTTGGGTCAACATGGCAATATCTTAATTGGAACAGAACTTATGGACGTCTCGCAGCATGAATAATGCAAATGGAAAATATGTGGTTAATTGTTAACCCTATTGATATTTAGCACAAATTCCAAAACTGGTCTCGCAGCACAGTCATGATTCGATCTAATCAAAATGCCGGCTCAGAGGCTGGAGTTGCTGCCGTCGCCGTCGCCGTTGCCGGAGGCGCGTGTGCACTTCACGAGCAGCTTGACACCCGTTCGACAAGAATGCCGAACAGCCCGCTGAAGGTAGACCACTTTCAAGCACAGCACAGTTCGGCACAGCAACCAGCTTAAGCCAAGAACAGCCGGCTAATATGGCTGAATATTTTTTTCTAACATTGCGGCGGATATTGTGGACTGGTTTAAGTGCTTGTAGCACACGTATGAATTGAATGAAAAATATATCACAACTGAGTCTTACTTTTCTTATACCCACCAAATACATTCAAGGGTATAATAATTTTAAGAATATCTATGTAGCGCGCAGAATAAAGCATATCCGACCAAAAAAAAAGAATTCTTATGCAACATCAAGAGACAAGTCGAGCTAGCCGTCTGTCTGTCTCTCTGTCTGTCTGTCTGTCTGTCTGTCCGTATGTATATATGAACGCGTCGATCTCGGAAATCATAAAAGCTAGAGAATAGATATTTTAAACGTAGCTTCTCCTATTGCTAACGCAGATCAAATTAGTTTCTAATCGTTGATAACTTGCAGGTCTTCATCAAATCGAAATCCTATTCTTAGAGCATACTTCGGAGACTTTAAGAGCTAAAGAAGCCAAATATAGAGTATAGATTCTTGCAGGCTGTAAAAATATCGAAAAGAGTTTACTCTTTTGAAATCTCCCCAGTTCCAGTTCCCAGTAAAAAAAACTGCATTTCTAAAGCTAAAGGGCAGATTGGGCTTTGCTGTATACACACTTTTGGAATGGGAAAGTTTTGCCCCGAAAATATTAAAAAGATCGGACAGTAAAAGTGTGGGGCTAAGGTAAGATGAAGCACACCTGCATATCTGCATATATATAGAACGTAGCTAGAATATTTATCATAGCAGCTCTTCGCTGCGTTCAGGGTATCTCTTAGTCGGGCCCTCCCTAGTTGAGTTTAGTTGACTTTTCAAAGAAAAACAAGTTATTGTAAACAAAATATTTAAGACATTTTTGCCATACGAATATCCCAGCCACGACTTTCGCATTTGAGCTTGATTATTATTCTCTTTGTTATTTGAAATTTTGTTATTATTAATTTATTAATAGTTTTTTGTTAAGCTATTTCAACACAACCCGTTGCGCTTTATCATGGAAATTCTAAATGACTTGCGGTCTCCGATTTGCTAAATCTTAATGGCTTTTACAGCTTCAAAGCTGTAGGGCAACTTTGTTGTCGCAGTCTTGCCAAAGACCTTGACTTTCTTTTCCAAATTTTCTTCGCTGACTACAATTAGCCAGACGCCATAAAAAAAGCACTTGTAGCTGACAAAGTTGACATTACACTGCGCATTTTGAAAGCCAAAGCTGTGTGTAGAAAGCCAACGTCAACGCATTTGTGTGTGTGTGTGTGTTTTTGTTATTGTTTACTCATGCATGTGGCCAGCAAGTTTTTACAAAATTGTACAGCTCGTGACATTTCACTTTAGGTGGATTATAATTATAACCTCGCCCAATATGAGAATTCGCAAGCCGCGATCCGTTCATATGCTAATTTTTAGCCAAGTCAAAGTTCTTGTTCGAGCATCAAAGAATACACAAATAAACGGAACTCTTGATATTTCTGACAGGTGATAACAAAAGGTACGCATTCATTTCTAAGCTGAAATTCACATTGTTTTAGGTGCTACAATGGAACATTAATAAAGACTTGCCGCCTGGCCAAACAGATTGTGCTCAAGAGAGCCTTCCGCCTGCACATAATTACAACGTGTGTGACTGTGTGTGTGCACATGTGTGTGTGTGGTGTGTGTGGCAAGAGTTACGCAGTCGCAACAGATCCAGACGCAGGTACATAACTAGTTTTCACTAAAACACACATTTCAAGGCAATAAACTATGTTTAACCAAAGCCGGCAGACGGGTCCACGGAGCAGTCTGGGCGCGTGTCTGCACAAAATGCACAAAATGCATTTCAATTTCATTACGTCGGTCGAGCCGTTTGTTGGTCTGTCTGTCTGTCTGTCCGTCTGTCTGACTGTCTGTCTGTCTGACGGGGTGAATGTTGACCGTGCATGTCATTCGCATTTAGTTTTGAAAGTTGTTTGCTTCCTGCTGATCGGCGAATATTTTTGCCATTTTAATTAAAAAACACTACAATTTCACTGATAAATGCAATTTGAATGCTCATCAATGTCAGTTGCAGGGAAATGTGAAAAGCCGAAAAGCCTTTGCGCTTAGAGAACTCTACAGACCGACAGTGAGAACGGGCGTCAGTTAACTGAAATGCAATTAGACTGTGCTTAGCTGGCAAAATGCCGAGCAGCAGGCAATTAATCAATAAAAATCATAGGCCCATTGTTAGAGTATGTAGATGAACTTAAGGGCTACTATGCTCTCAAGTACTTTGGCACACTTTGATTCCCTCAACGAGCTAATTGTTAATGAAAGTGCGCAAAGTGAAAATTTTAAGTGCAAGGTTAATGGGATTTATAAATCACACTTTGGGGCCGGCTTAGACATGCAAATCAAGCCATTAACGGTATTTTCAGAGATCCCAATTCATTTTAGCACACCATTTTTGGTCTTAGCTATTTTCTTACCTCAAAAGCTTCAGCAATACGTTCGTTTGATTTGCTATTAAAACTTTAGATTCTGTAGCCATTAAAATAACAATAACTACTTGTCTCAATGAGATTTAAAAATTAACAATAATCCAAAAAACTTAAAAAGGTTCAATTGGCAAAACAAAAGTGTAAATTATTTAAATTAACATTGAATCTGGCAAATATAACAGAGATATAACAGAAGACTAAAGCGTTTCAAATTGTTCATTAAAATAATATATTATATAAAATATATAAAAGTTCAATATAAAAAGATTGTATGAACCTCTTTCCCTTATGCATTATTTTGCCCATCACAATCCATTTAATAAAACACAATATATATTATTTAAGTGTTCCTTCTGGCATGTTGCTTATTGAAATGTTTACTTCGATAAGTTATCGATTACAGTTAACAGAATACTCATACTGGCCACTGTCCGATTTAACAGTGCTCCGCAAAGTTGGCAACCCTATGGCAATTTTTAGCAGCTGCTTGCGATTTCGCGCTCAAGTAAAAATTAGTTTAAGCTAATATCAAATTAACAATGGCCAGCAGCTCGCGAAATGCCTCACGGAGAGCCAATACAACGCATTCGCAGTCGCGGACGGTGCCAACCCAAGCGGAAGCATCACAGGTTGAGATAGACCACCAAGTGCGCGCCATTCTGAATTATATTCTGTGTCATTCGGCGAATAAGGTGCCGATCAAGTACAACGATTTGATGCCTTTGGCGGATAGCAAGAACGAGGTGAACAAGCGATTTGCATTAGTCACCCAACTCCTTGAAACACGCTATGGCATTAAGCTTGTCCAGCTGGAAGGAACTCCCAAGAGATACGTTTGCATAGCCGAGGCACCGGCGGCATCCACATACGAACTAACGGCCGCCCAGCGTCCACAGTTTACATTGCTCTACATTATACTTACGTACATCTTTTTGCGCGGTAATCACATAGAGGAGGACAAGCTCTACGGCATGCTGGACATGATGGGAGTTAACGTGCACGAGGAGCATGGATACTTTGGCGAAAACATATCCAAACTGATCGAGGATACGTTCGTGAAACAACAATATCTGAAGCGAGAGCGCTCACAGCTTAGTCCCTACGACGATCCCAAGATTACCTACAGTTGGGGGCTGCGTGCCAAATGCGTGTTTACTTATCCACAAGTTGTCAAGTTTGCATCCAAACTGTTTGACCAGGACGAAGCTTTCTTTCAGCAACAGCTTATGATGGCTGAAGGCGTGGATAATCCCGAGATGCTGCAAGCCTCTGCTCTAGCCGCGGATAACACCGATGCCAGCTTTTCGGAGTCACAACATCTGTTGGACAGCCAATGAATCGTTCAATACAAGTGCAACTAGATTATAAGTGTATTTTATTCAGTAAGGAAATTGTTTTATTTTTGATTTGTAACTATATGACCTGTTTATTACTTTGTAAAAAAGACTAAGATAATAGCAGCCAATTTACCAAGGGATTAGTTCCTTAATGGTCTTTATATCCCTTCAAAAAGCAACCCATAAACAAATAATCTATAAGGCCTTCTCCTGTTATGGCAAAGTATTGTTTACCTTGTAAGCCATTTTTCGTAGATAATTTATTAATGCTTTGCTTTAGCATGGTTCTGCATTAATTGACTTACAATACGTAACATAAATAATTATCTTAAATGTTGTTTTAAAAGATAATTGTGAAGTTAGACCTGTGAAATTTCCTTTGAAAAGCCATCTGTAAAGACTTCTTGCAAGTAAATTAGGTTCAGACGTAGAGAGACAGGAGTAATGCTCTCCTAGTAGACCCTCCAACATGGGAACCTTAAGATCCCTTGCCAGAGCTTGGCTTGCCTTTTTACCAAGATGCCCCCGTATTTAATCTGAGAACGCCGACTGGGATCCTTCTACTAAACAAACAGCTGGAGCAAGTACGCTGCCCTGGAGAACTCTAGCTTCGATATCCTTAGTTTTAGAGAAAGTGTCGTCAACCACCAAAACAACCATTTTGTCTTTGATGAAGCTATAGAGGATAGAAACGAGATAATCAAAGTTTTGGGTTCAAAAAGAAGTCTCGACGGTACGTTAAAGCTTTTCCGGAGCCCCGATGCGATTATCGCCATCCGGCTCCGATTATATAACTAGTAATACTCAAGTATTTGTCCTCTTCGTAGCATTATGTTAAGAACAATGAGAATGAACAGAATGTCTTTGGTGGAGAGCAGATTAAAGCTTCAGTACGTCTACGCTCGATCTGCTCCAAGAATCATATTCTCTTATTGTGAATTAAAGACAACAATTTTTATTTATTTTATGCATAACTAATTACATTAAATTGCATTAAATATTTGTATACCTATATCTAGATGATAAACACTTCTAATACTTGGCATAATCCGTGTCCATTACCAGCACGCCATCCTTGTCTTTGAGACGCACACGCCCGTTGGAGTAACGTGTTTCTTGGCTGCCATCGGGATAGACGAGCTTGACAGTGCCATCGGGATACTCGCGCCGCTTGTTCAATTTGGTGTGTATTTCCTTCTGACCATTGGGCAGATTTAATATCTTGTCACCGTTGCGCAGCTGCACTAGATGCGTGCCATCCGCGTAGCGCCATTCCTCCAATTTTTCCGTATTACTGGGATCGACCGTTTTGATGGTATTGTTTGGAAAGTGAATCTCGATAATGCCATTTTTGTGACGATGCTCGGTTTGTCCATTGGGAAACTCGAGTATTTCTAGACCATCCAGATAGCTAGTGTGCCACGTGTTCGTCTCTGCGTAATAATACTTGGTCGTGCCGGCGCGTATATCTGTCTCCTTGATATCCTTATTAAAATACAACATGCGCACGCTCATGCCATCTGCGCTGATCTTCTTAAGATTGCCATTTGGATACCAAATGTCCTTACTACCGTCTGCATTTACAATTTCACGCTTAAACTCGCTGTTGCTGCTGTTGTTATGTTCGGCAACGGCTATTTCGACAGCGACCGGGGCCGCAGGTTTTGGTTTCGCAGCTTTTAGGGGCACAACCTCGTCTATGTCACAGGAGCTGCTCGAGGCATAACTTTCATTCAGTTCCTCTGATTTCTTGCGACTTCGACTGCAGCTGTGGCGACGACTGGACACACGCTGTTTGGTCGCCGCCGAGTCCTGCAAGATGTTACTTATGGATTTGGCTTGGCGTTTTCCATTCTCGTCCATATGCTTTGCCGTAGGCAGCGCTGTCTCCTGCTAAATTTATAACTTGAGTTCGTTTCATTTCAATATGTTAGTCAGCACTTACCACCTTCGGCGCTAAACGCGCAATGTTCCGGTTGATTTCCTGCAGCATTTTGCTGTTGTTCTCGCGCGAAATCTTAACTAGCTCCTGCTCCAGTCGCTTGTTTTCGCGACTAAGCAGCTCGATCTCGTCCCTGTAGTTGCGCTGTTCCTTTTCGGTAGCACGCAGCTGAGCACGAAGTCGCGCCTGCGCTGACACGTGAGTCTGATCCTTTTGTTTGAGCTGCAGCTGAAGTGCCTCCACCTCTTGCTTTAACGCCGCCAGCTCCTTTTTCTCTTTGCTATTAACATTGCTCTTTTGAAGTCGCATTTGCTGCTCGAATTTGCGACGCTCCTCCTCTATCTTCATCCGCTCATCATGCAAATAGATTTCGGCTTGTATTTTCTCATCATGCACACGATCCATTGCCTCCAAATGCTCCTGGGCGCACTTGGCTTGATCCAGCTCGTGCTGTTGCTTAAGCCGCAGCAGCTGCGCATTTTGTTCTTTAAATGTGGCTATTTCTGTTTCCAGTTCCTGAAGACGCGTCCGCACCAGATTCGCTTGAATTTGCAGCTCTTGCGTTAATGGCTCATCGCTAGCGGCGCTCTTTGTCTGTTGAGCCGATCTCTGTTCCAGAGCCTGAAACAGCGCCGTTTTAAATTCCTCGAAGAGCTGCACATTCGTGCCCTCTTGCAGCGTTGCCTCATCTGAATATTCATGAGTCTCATTGGAGTCGGAGAAGCGCACGTGCACCTGAGTCTTTCCTCCGCCAATCTTTAGCGGCGTCCTGATCAAGGTAGTGTTCTCCTCGTCCTCATCCTCATCTTCATCGTTTTCACTGATGACCTCAGACACTTCTGGCTGTAGTCGCATTTCGCGCAATTGCTCGGTAATTACTATCTGATCACTCTCGTCGGCAGTGTCTACCTGACGTCGTTGTTCTTTGCGTGCCATGAATGTACGTATAAAGCTGGAGTTCATATCAATGTTGCCCTCACGCGCCTTCTGTTCAAGCAACTCAAAGATGCTGACATTGTCGTCGTTTTCAACGCGTATTTGGGCCGTGCGTCGATGCAGAACTGGAGGCTTTATTTGCTGTGTGTCCAGCACCTTGGCCCAGCATACGTTTACCAGTGCACTGGAGCTTGTCTCGCAGGAGGACTGTTCATCATCAGCTGTTTGTCCTTTGGCTTGCTCTGCATCGTTAAGTTCGACAAAGTGCACCTTGGGCGATACGCTGGAGTTGGTGTTGTTGGTCGAGGTATAGGAAGACTTTAGATCCGGGGTGGAGCTGCACACATGCTTGGCATTCATCAATAGCTGCTGAAAGCGCTGCTCTTTGAGCGATAGAAGAGGTGGAGGCTGTGCACTTGCTTTTTCTACAGCACCTGACTCTTTGTGGGTCTTTAAGATACTACGTTTTTTCGGTTTGTCCGATGTTGGCGTGCGGTACTCTGGATGTGCATTGGCAAACTTGTAGCGCGGCAAATTGTTAAGACGCAATTTATCCGGATCAACTTTAAAGCGCTGTTTTAGACCATCACCACGGCGTAGAAACGGACGTTTGGGCTTCGCTGGTCGCGGACTTATTCGGCCAGTAGCAATCTCTGCGAGTTCGAACTCTTGTTGAGCTTTATCCTCTTCCTGCTGGTAGTTCGCATGGCGAGGCATTTCTATGGTTAATGTTTGCTCCTGGTCCTGTTCTTTACTTTGCCCGTCATTGTTTTCTGTTAAACTTACATCTGCAATGTTGTTGTCTCTGCTCTTAAGATCTTTGTGCAGTAGTCCAAGCATTTGGTACATATTGCGCTGCTCCAAGCCCAACATTAAACGCTGAGTGTTTTGACGCTCCTCCAACAGGCGTTTCTGCTCCTCTTGCCAGCGATTTAGTGCGGCTAAGCGTGTCGATATATCCTGAGGCGTTGCAGCTGAAGCGGCGATACTATTTTCATTTGAACCTTCCATATTTTGCTTGGAATATCATGAAGTATTTTTATTGTTTATATGCATGGAATCCGACGCTATGCATTCAAAAAAACACCTAAATAAAAGTGTTGGAAAGTGTGGGTATAACAGCCCAGAAACCAGGGCTGCAGGCTTTAAATTAAACATAAACATCGGAAAATAATCCTTTAAAAAACGCTTTAATTATGTTGTTTTTATATTTATACCTATTTTAATTTATTTACATTGCATTTGAAGATCCCTACATATCCGGTTCCCGGTCTTGGTTTTCCTCCGGCTCATCAAAATCACGGACTTGCACGTCAGCGTCCTCTCCATACTGCATAATGCTGTCAATCTGCAGCAAAAGATCACCAATACTCTCCTCATCGTCTACGTTCAGTGGAAAAAATCGCACCAAACTACAAAAAATATAAAAACATTAGTTTAATCTCATAAATGTACAGGCTGCACAGTGGCAACGCCAACGCGGCATATTTGCCAGCCCTGGTTAGAGCAAATAATTTTTCGTCGCGTCGTAAAATGTGCGCATAAACTGAACCTTAATATTACAAATAAAGCTTAGTTTTACGTAATATAACAAAATACAACTCAATTGCAGCATTTAAGTGCAACGCCCACAAATTTTGGCGCGACGGACAAGTGTGTCGAAAATACCCCAAAAAATCCCAAGCAACAGCAACAACAAGAGCAAAATAGACTCATTTTTGATACAACATTTTTTGGGCACACACCAAAAACGGCAAAGCAGCTAAAAAACCCTGAATTTACAACCGCACTATAATTCAAAACAATGGAGGAGCAAACGGACATGGACTTGTCCAAAGTGTATGTGGTACGCTCCGCTAAGGGCGTAGACATGCTTTGCGTGGATGATTATCTTTATCATTTTGATCGCATTGGCAAAAATAACACATATCGATGGCTATGCAATCGGCGGAAGGATAAAGTGACGCCATGTCGATCCCGGATCTCCACCATAGTGCCAAATACAATGGACAAGACGACGCACGTTGTGGTCGATGTTATTCAGGAGCATGTGCATCCACGCTGCAGCGATCACGAGATAACAAAAGTCTCCCAACGCAAGCGTCTATCCAACATGAAAATGAACGATGCCTACAGCACCACCCAGCCAAAGCGCGCCCGCCTATACGAGCGCGCTACGGCGGGCCTTAATCCACCCGAATGGATATCCACAAGCAGAGAGAGCGAATCCCTGCAATATTCCTTTCAACTGGACTTTGAGGTGTGCGCCAATGCCAATTATTGTAATAAACAATTTTGTTTAAAGCAATTTGGAACTCTTGAACCCTGATAAAGTTTATAATTTATTGCCATATACATTCGCAAATATCAGTTGATTAAGTTAATCTTAATTTAATTGATTTAGACTTTTTCTTCCACACTTTCATTCTTTTCATTTTGATTTTCTGTTCTCACAATTGGACACATATTCGTCTTCAGTCCCAATGTTTCTTTCTCTTGTTAAAAACCTCATTACTAACCTTTCCCATAAATTTTATGAAAAAAGTAGTAACTTTTTTGAAGCGTAATTCTATATTTACAAATTATCTACTTTGCATTAGTTTGAGTATTAGAATAATCTCATTGAAGAGTAAAGTTAAAAGCTTTATTTAAGCTTAAAATATTCAAAAATTGGGATTAGTCCACTTCTATCCCCAAAAAAAGAATAGCATAAAATGATATATCAATTAAGACAACTTTCCTTTGAATTGTTGCAGGACAGAGATCGGGTTTATATGCTGCGGCGTCGCGATGGACGCGTCATGGTTTGCATCGACGGTCATCTCTACTATCTGGCTGGCAAGTCGTACAAGGGTGACATGTACAGATGGACGTGTGTGCGCAAGCGGGACATTGAATGCACCGCCAGGATCTGCACAGAGGCGACGCTAGCCGGTGCACATCGTTTGCATGTTATGGAATCGGATGCGCATATACATCCACACTATTCGGCCGACAAGCTAATGCAAATGTTTGCCAGACATCAGATTCTTCTGGTGGACGATGAGCAAACGGTAGAAGTGCTTCAGGAGTGCCCCAATTTGGAGTACTTTGACCCCGAGCTGAGTTTAGAGTCGGAGATGAAAGGCGATGATGTCGCCTCAATTATCATAGAAGATTGCGAGGAGAACTATGAGGTGTACATGAACATGGATGGCGTAGACAGCTCCGAGTCTGTGCAGCCCGTTCAACAGCATGATCAGCCCAATCTCGATGACGAAACTAAATGGCCTAATGCCGCTGATATCATTGACAACCATGTGTCCCCGCCCAACTATGATCCGCTAACCGAAACCGATCTGACCAAGTTCACGTTTCTGCCCTCGGCTAAGGGTCGCAAGGTGCTGTGCTTGGATCGGCATCTGTTTCACTTCGACTCGCAGAGCCGTGCGAATGGCCACATGTTCTTCACGTGCATCATGCGGCGCGACAAACAGCAAAGCTGTCACGTTCGCGTTACATTAGATCCTGTCGAGCACGGGCCACAGGTGTTGCGCATCAACGGCGAGCATACGCACAAGCCCGATCTGCAGGAGATACTGCGGCGCATTAGTCAGCAGAAGAAGCAGGAGAAACTGCAGGTAATGGAGAAGCGAGGAGGCAATCTTAAAACGGTGCAGGTCAGGCGACAGTCACTTGGCAATGAGGAAATTGACTTTGAGAGCCAGGACGAGGTGGAAACAGAGGAGGAGGAGGGAGAGCCACTTACTGAACATGAAGGCAAATATGAGAAACCGAAAGACCAGTCACCACCCTCCAACGTGGTTATGAAAAAGGTCATTGGCATTGATGGCATCAAAATGGAGCCCGAAGAAGCCAAGGCGGCCTCAATGATTGTCGAGTATATGGACGATGGCGCCGACAACATCAGCGCCAAAATTGAAATACTCCCGAATGATTTGGAGGTCATCGAGCCCACCACATCGACACCCAAGCCACAACTGACCAATTTACGTAAGCGTCGCACCAACACAGTGCCAACCAGCAATAGCACGCAGCTGACAGCAACGCCTTCGGACATGGATCTAACGAAAATCTGCACATTACGCTCGGCGAAAGGCAGCGAAATGCTTTGCGTGGATGGTTACATCTATCATGCCAAGAATCGTGGCCTCATTTCACGCAATTATTGGGTGTGCATCAAGAGCCGTGATCCGGAGATCAATTGCAAAAGCCGCATATCGACGGCCACACAAAAGGACGGCTCCATACGCGTTCTGCGCGTATACAACAGCCATAGTCATCCGTTCAGCGAGGACGACATAAAACGACGACTGTTTAATGAGATCAACAAGAAGAACAATAAAAAGCTCAAGTTCCGGCCACTGCACTTCATCGGCAAGTCTCTAGAGCAAATCAAGCAGGAATATGGCGACCTATCCGTCGAACAGCTCAACGTTTCCAATCTCACCGACGGCATTGTGGTCCATAAAAAGCCACGCAACAGTGCAGGCAGCAGCAGTCACAACAGTAGCAGCACATCCACAACCAGAGCGAAGGGGGACGATTCGTTAAATGCAGCTGTTGGCAAGCAAAAGTTGCACGCAGAAGACCAGGAGCACCAGCACTATGAGGAGGACGTCGTCGTCGAGGAGGAAGAGGATGGCGAGCAAGCATGCATACCGGAAGAGGGGCAGTTCATGACTGTAGAGGAGGACAACACGGATGCAATTATCGAAGTGGTCGAGGAAGTGACCGACATGGAAAACTATGGCAGTATTGAGTAAGTACAGATAAATTGGAGCAAAAGGGGCATGCCACACAATAGGTGCACAATAAGACTTTTAATCGGGTTAAGCATAGCATCAAAAATAAAGTTGAGTCCGTATCGGAATGTTATCAGAATACAAAATTGGCCGGATTGCAGATTAGATTAGATGAACTTATTTACAGGGCAATTAATAGTCGACTAAGCTTAACTTTTGCAGCTTGAAATGTTGCACAGATATTGAAAACTGAAAACGGTTTGGGCTTTCGGCTTCAGTTGGGCTTAGAAGCTGCAAGAGCGCACTTCAATTTTACGGAGTAGATTCCAATTAGGTAAATGCCGAGATATTAAAAATAAAATTAATGACAACAACAAGAAATACACATATACATATGTAACCAATATAGCTACACGATTTTTGTTAACATTCACTTTTGTCCAATGGAAACTCGCTTGTTGGCCACAAACGAAACCGGTTCGACTAGACACAAATACTCATTTGCTATCGTGTTTTTTGTTTTTTGCATAATTTCAAACAGACCCATTTACACGATGAAGCTGTACGCCGTATCCGATGGTCCGCCCTCGCTGGCCGTGCGAATGACCCTCAAGGCGCTGGACATTCAATATCAGCTAATCAATGTGGACTTTTGTGCGCTGGAGCACCGCACAGTGGACTATGCCAAGGTACGGTACACACAAAAATCAAAGCAGTAAAATTGATGTTTTAATTGAATATTTTATTACCCGCAGATGAATCCACAAAAGGAGATACCTGTGCTAGACGACGATGGTTTCCATCTGTCCGAGAGCATTGCTATTATGCAATACTTGTGCGACAAGTATGCGCCGCTATCGACGCTATATCCAGAGGAGCCCAACGAACGGGCGCTGGTCAATCAACGTTTGTGCTTCAACATGAGCTTCTACTATGCGCCAATCTCGGCGCATAGCATGGCCCCTATATTCTTCGACTATGAGCGCACACCCATGTCTCTGAAGAAGGTGGAGAATGCGCTCGATGTGTTCGAGACGTATCTGCAGCGTTTGGGCACCAAATATGCAGCAAGTGACAATCTTACCATTGCAGACTTTGCATTGGTATCGTCGACACTGTGCCTGGAAGCCATTGACTTTGATTTATCGCCGTATCCGCTGGTACAGAAATGGTACTCCACCTTTAAGGCGGAGTATCCAGAGCTTTGGCAAATTGCCAACAGCGGCATGCAGGAGATCAATGCTTTTGAGCACAATCCGCCGGATCTTTCCCAAATGGAACACCCATTTCATCCAACGCGCAAGCCTAAGGCATAAATCTAGTGCCGAATTGTAGATATTAAGTGCATTTGCTGCATTAAGGCCAGCTTTGATAGTTGAAATATACATACAAATTTTATATAAAAATATTTAAATAATGAGCATACGGAATATTGTATGCCATTCCTTGCATGCTCTTAAACATAAGTAAAGGTTTTTTAAAACTGTTTTAAAAATTTAACTACAAATCAACTTAATTGGAGAAAAATGAGGCAAATTTTCAGTGTAAGATCGGGCGAGACCTATAACTGCGACTCCGAGGTGGAGGAGTGAATATGTAGAAATAGAATACACTTAGAGAATGTATATAACACTTTTTCCCTTACGCCCTACTATAGTTTGCAGTCACTTACCTAAAATCCTCGATGAGCGAGCCAATAGCCTCAGTTAGCTTCCGGTATTTCTCACCAAATGCCGTGCCAATGGTCAGCTCCCCCATAAGATTGTGCGTGTCTGGCTCCAGATATAGTTCCAGCTGCTTGCGCGCTTCTGCGCTCAACAGATCCCCTTTGGTCAGCACGTTCACATGCGGCTGCTCCATGTTCGCCATGACGCTAAGTGCTGCCATGGTGCCTGATATAAACTTGGCGCCATCGACCATGAACTGCGAGTCAAGACAGAAGACTACGCAAATGCGGAAATTCCAGGATTCTAGCAGCTGCACCAACTGTTTGCCCATCTTTAGATGTGTGAACAGCTCTATTTGGCCAGGCATATCGAACAGTATATAATCATCGTCTGGCTCACCGAGCATTAGCTCATCTTCGCCGCCGCACAGTTGCGCCTTAAGCCAGTCCTGATTCTCAATGAGAAACTCTAGGCAAAATATCAAGCCCCCATTAGGTCCGTAGTGTAGCTCCTCATCTTCCATGGCATCATCCAGATGTATTAGCTCTCGTATGTCCGCAAGCGGTGAGTAGTTAAAGTGTTCCGCAGCTGGATCCAAATTAACAACCTGAATGTTTCTCTTACTATCCGTCGCATGTTGTTGCATATAGCTGCAATATGTAGACTGTGAAAGGCAATTAGATCTTGACCGGCCCAATTAAAAATTGTATGTTTTGAGCATGCCTTGCCGCTGCCAGCGGGTCCCACAACAATCTGTGCAAAACGCATTTTAAGTTTTATTTAAAATTTTAAATAAACGCAAGCAAATTGCATGCGCGTGCGGTCGATGTAGTGTTGAAAGACGTCCAAAAAAGCTTTATTGCGTTCTGGCACATGCGCTGGTGTGGCAACGCCGCGATGTGCTGTTTCACAGATTTAAAATAGAAAGTGACCAGGTTTCATCGTACAGCTGTTCAGTTAATTAAATCTGCGATTTAACTGCCAGACATCATAAACAGCAATGTGACGCGTTAATTTACATATGATCGGATTGATTTATCAAAACGTTCAATCACACCACAGTTGCGACCACCCTGCTGAGGCTAAGCCTAATTGCTGATAAACATCTAAATTGTGCTACCAAATGTATACACGCGCCGAAAGGACAGCGAAAGCAACGACAGCTGTCCATCTAACGATTGTCCCTGCCAGAACATGACAATCATAATGATTTTTTAAATGCCACGCTTGCAGCAAAACTATAACGCTTAAAAATAATAATAAATTCCCATTCTCTTGTTTTTTTTTTTATAAAATTTGTTGTAGTCTCTGTCCTGCGTGTGCATGTCGGAAGACCGGAAATAATTTTCTAGTTGCCCTCCCGAACCCAAGTTGAACACCCACCCCCGAAAAACTGCACTTGTGCTTTATGATTGTGTTCTGTCTGTTTGGTTTTATTTTTTATGATATCGGCAACAGGGGCTGGCTGACACCAGGTGTTCAATATGTTGTGCTGATAAGTACGTTATTTAGTTGTAAATTGCGCCTTTTGCCCCAGCCGTTTGAACTGCAAATGGCCAAAAATTAAAGGTTCAACTTGGGCATGGTATTTTTTCTTTCGGAATGTTTCTTTTGGTATTTTTTTCAATCATCTATGGTATTTCTTTTAAATAATTGTGTGTACACGTTGTATTTCATTTAAATACTCGAATTTATTTAACTTTAAACTAAGCCACTAAGTATAGTATAACATTTAGATATAAGCAAACTTATAGCAATTAAATACCACAGAACATGTTTTTTTTAATATTTTAAAATTGGAATATATGTATATAGTATATGTATGTTTAATGGGTGACACTAAATGTCGTAGACTAGCAAAAGCTTGACTAGTTGAGCGAAGTTGCACTGCAAATTGTAGAATATTCTTTTAAAGACCACCTCCGCTGCCAAAGATGCTAGCTGCGGCACCGGCATCGCTTATATCTCCTCCACTGATATTGAAGTCCTCGCTGCTCTGATTGCTGTTGTGATTTTGACTAGAATTCGAGCTGATGCTGCCCTTTGCGGCATTGTTGGTATACAACGGCTGGGCTGGATGTTGGTTGGATGCTCCATTGGGATCGTCTGGTGTCCAAGTGCGTGCGTACAGCTTGCTGCCCGGATAGCGATCGCCCTTGCGATACCAAGACAAGGAATGCGACATACCGCCGGCTGTAACGAAAGAGTTCAATTGAGATTTTATAACATTTTTAAACCAGTTTTCGGTTTCAACAGAAAGTCAAGTGCCGCCCCGTCAATTAAAATTGTTGCCAAAAACTGAGCAAATGCCATTAGCGGACACATTACAAGCACATCAGCAGCCGCAGAGCAAACAAGCAAAGGGTTCACTTCTCGCATGGTTCCTGCTATTTGTCTGCTGCTGCTGTTGTTGCAGCTGGCCGCCCGCTGTGCGACCCACCATTTGCCGTGCACAAACACAAATCCTCCCCCCGTCCAATCAGCTTGCACGCAGAGGATAGCATCCCATTCCAATCACAACCCAAACACAAGCTTGGTAATTTGTAGCGCACACAATTTTGGAGTGCTTCATGCGGGTGTTGCTCAAATATGCGACATGGCCACCCCATCCGGTAACCACCCAGCTTCACACTCGCACGGGGTTGGGCGCCCCACTCCACCCACTCATCTTGGATGTTGGTGTGAACATATGCCAGGCGCGTGCCCTGCAGCCGAATCCTACCGATTCCCGAAACCAATCCAACCTTGCCGCCATTTAAATGGGCGTTCTGTTGCCCCCAGTGCTCGTTTGGGGTTTGCGATTTTTATCTATTTCGCTTTTGTTTTTCTTCTTATTTTTTTTTTTTGTTCATTCTTGTTTTTGCTCAACATTTTTAATGCCCGTTAAGCATGAAAACGCTTTTGCCGTACGTCACATGCTCCGCTCTCCCCCAGCTCGCGGTCTCTTTGGCCTCGGTTGCCCTTTAACAGGGACCCATGAATTGTTCTGCGCTGGCGACAGCAGACATCTGCTGGACTGTAACGAATTTCTCACGATATGATTATGTCGATTGTGCTTTGTTGTTCCTCATGTCGATTGTTATGTGTGTGTGAGTGTGTGCGTGTGTACCCTGATGGGAGTAGGAGTCGAGGTTGGGCAAGGTGTCTGTCATGTTGGATTTTATCATAACAAATTGTATGTCGGCATGTCGCATGTTCTTTAAACAACATTTTATCAGGGATTTGGTATAGTATAGGCCTTAGTATAGGACACCTTGCAACTAAATAAATGACAAATTTTCTACTTTATTCTACTTCGCTGAGGATTTCTTTTATATTATGGGGATTTCGTCAAATATTATAATCCGTACACGGCAAAGACTCCTTGTTGAGTTTTGCTCATGTGTCTGATTCCCATAATATTATATTATTATTATAAGGAATTGAATCTGTGCAGAAACAATTGTTGTTAGTTTCCCTATCTGAATTAAACTGGGCTCCTGCTCTCCGCTTGCCTTCATATTCAAGTAGAGTACAAATGACTAATTTGCTTTCTTTTACTAATTGTAGAATTTTGATTGATGCAGATAATAATTATGATTACACTGGGTTAATTAACTAATTTAACTGGTTTTTCTTTAATTTTGTTCAAGTAACTTGCATGAACCGTTCCGGATCCTTTGTGGAGATCCCATTTAGCACTGCAAGTTTATCTGTTCGAAATCTTCTCTTTCTCTTCTATTCTGAACTATTTAGAAAGTAGATAATCTTAGTTTGTATCCATTTTTGTACTTCACGACTTCGAATTTTTTCGAAAATTTCGCCGAACCCATTAAGTATGTACATCTATTAGATCAGGCAGGCGCCTACCTGTTAATCTATTTTTATGAAAAAAATCTTCCCTTTTTAAGCTTTCCTTTAACAACTAGGCCTATGATATCCGTATATAGGTCGCAGACAGTGCAAATTGCTGGTTCGTCCAGATTAAATCTTTCTCATGACATACAGACAATCGATGGTATAGAAAAACCTTTGTTTGTTTAGAAAAACTTCAGTATATAGACCAAAATCATCAAGAAGAACCACAATTCATAAAAATTATCATATAACTCGGCGGAAAATTAAGTTGATGTTGTTGTCTACTTTTTCAAAACCTTTTCTGTACGTTTTTTTCAAGATTATAGGGATTTTTGTTGCTACTGGTTTTGTTTTTATCCTCAGGGTCGAATATCTTGATGTACATAAATATTCCTTAAGTACAAGCCCAAGAGCAAAAACGACTTCCTACTAAAATTTTCTGATCGTTTTAATGATTATTAAGAAAATGTATTGAATTAATATAAAAGTTTTGGTTTCTACTGAAATTCAAACAAATTCGTCTATAAATAAAACTCCTAACTACCATGTTTTAAATATTCCCACAGGCTCAGAGCTGTAAATTTTCACCTCAATGCAAAGCACTTTGCTATAAATTGCAACCAAACAAGTTCCTAACCCAAGTTTAACCAGTATAAATTTCTGTTGTGACAAACACAAGTTGAAAATAACAAAAAATAAGTAAAGAAAAAAACTTTAAAATTGAGCAAATCATTCAAAATCAGATGGAGAAATCGACCCCTAGTACTATATATGCATAGCACCCTTTGGCAGACCAAGTGGTTGGCTATTAGCTATGCAGATGCTTTGGCTCGATCGGGATTCTCTCGACGAGGAGTGGAGGGTCCTGCAGTGTCATACATATTGAATAGAAAAATTATTAA